GTCTGAAGGCTACTTACGATTCGCAGAGGCGATGGGGCGAGAAAGCGTGTGGCCGCCACAGATGTACCTCCTTCCAACGCGAGCCACGAGCCGACGCAAAAAACTGCCACTTTTCTGGGGCGTTCTCATGCAACGGATGACGTGCAACTGGAAGCGCTTCGCTCACTTGCGCTGTCATCAGACAGCTCGCGATGACAAGACGGCCGCAGAAGAGCCGCGTGGGAGCGACTTGCAGCTAGTGCAACGCCAACGTGCTCCGCTTGTCGACGCCGTGGCAGGACAGCTTGACAGCGCTTCTCTCTGGTTGGCTGCGAGCGGACCACGGAACAACGGCTGGCAGCGTTCTCGCAACGTTGGTAACGTCTTTGTAGTGTGGAGGTAAACAGCCTCAAGGCGTGTTGGCGCATTTGCCATTGACGGAAGAATCGATTAAAGGTTTTATATTATGTGCAGGCGAATGGTGAGGCAGTCGTCTCGTGACGCACGCCTGTAATGTGTGCGTAAAACCACTCGAGCCTTCTGTTGATACAAAATATATAAAATGTGGGATGCGCATGTTGCATAAAAATACTATAAACTGCCAAGTTATTTTAAAGCAGACGTGGGCTTCGTGACGGTAACAATATTCTGCTTCACACCGGTTGTCTCCGTTGCTACAACAAGAGTCATCCGATTTAGTAAGAATTATGTCGGGGTCACGAATTGTTGTCCAGAATTGGTAACGACGACCATCTCACTCGTCTCGATAGCACTAAGAAGGCAATGTGCGGGCTAGCAATTCATACTGCCTGCATTACAAAGCGTAAAATTGACACTAGCCGATGTCAATCGGGCATCTTTACACACTCGTACTCATTTGGTCATTTTAAAAAGCAGCGTGTTAATCCGTTCCACGTAATATCCAATGTGTGAACATACAAGAAGGGGTGCCAGCCTCGGAATAGGGACCAGAAAAAGTGTGCCACAAATTACAATTCCTTTTATATCACGCCCATTTTAATTAGGCCACGACTAGGGGCACATCCCACTTTTGCTAGGGGCACACCCGCCCGCCTAAAATGATGATGAAAAGGACTTTACATATTATAATGCAGAATAATGTGCGTATACAGTCGAGTTCAGTTTAACAAAAACCCACTAAACCAAAATGCCGTGATTGAATGGTCTAGGCTCTAGAGGTTAAAAGCTGAATTTTATCTACTTCGATAGAATAAGAACATGTCTCTAATACCTATCTTAGCCGAGCAATTGCTTCAATGTCCCCTCATAAGCATACTATACAACAGAGAACACCGACTACTGACACGCACAAGCTGGACCACCAAGATTGCGTGCGAAGACCCAAGAGAGAGACAATCATCGCTGGAACATCTCCAACCCCCACCTGCCGCTTTCGTTGATACCAGCTTTCATTCCAGGAAAGAGAAAGAGACGAAGCTAAACGATTTTGCGTCTACCTAAGGGTAGGCCATAGTCGTCACAAGATCAAAGAAAAAACGAGGCGGGGTCTTTAACAGGTCTACTATATGTGCGATCGCGGCGGGGCGTACAAGAACAGTCATAAACTCAGCGATGGTAAAAGGAAGCGACGAACATCCAGCAGGTTGATGGAATGCACATTCAAAGGGCGCGGCGATGCGAAACCGGACGGAACTTGGACCTTCTGCATCACCACCGCCATCCACAACCACAATCCTTCGTTGCATCTGGCCGGGCATTTAACCCACCAAAACCTCTCGCACAAGATGGTTGGAATTATCAAGGGATTTTTTGACGCAACGGTGCCTCCACGAAGCATTCAAAATTAGTTAAAAGTGACACATGGCGTAAAGTTTCCCGTGAATAAGCTTTACAACACCATTCAGCAGCTGACCAAAAAGGATCTTAACGGCAACGTTCCGGTCGAAGTGCTGGTCAAAGCTTTCAGGGATGAGGCCTATGAAATTGAGCTGGTCTTGGACGATTGTGGACGTGTAACCCATTGATTTTTTGCACACCCGGCAATGGTGGAGTTTATGAGACTCAATCACGACGTGTTAGTCTTGGATTCCACCTACAAGACAAACAAATACCGTTTGCCTCTCCTGCACGTCGTCGGTTCCACCGCATTGCACACCACCTTCTCCGCGGCCTTCGTCTTCATAAAGAACGAGAACGAAGAATCGTACAAGACTGCTGTTGAGTTCTTGTACAAACTTTTCCACATCGATGCTATGCCAAAAGTCTTTGCAGTTGATCGATAACTTGCCCTGATCTCGGCATTGCAGTATCAGTTTCCTGAGGCCTCGATTTAGTTGTGTGTGTGTGGCATATAGAGAAGAACATTACCAAGAATCGCAAGGGCCGTCTTGGCAGCAATCACGAACAGTTCATATAAGACTAATCAGCGGTGAAAAGTTTTTATTTTGCAACTTTCACCAAACTTGTAATCCATCATGCTAATTTGATATTTTAGATAGTTCATGCAGAGACATAAACTCTATTTTAATGAGCTCTGGTACAGTTTCCGCACTCGCTACCATATGTACCAGGAAGCGCTTAAATACCTGGAAGATAGGTGGATATATCCTCATAAGAAAAAGTTTGTTGCGGCATGGGCGAACAACGCTACTCACTTTGGGCATGCTGTTACTTCACGTGGTGATAGTGCTCAAAGCTGGCGGAAAACGTATCTGGGCACGAGCATGCTTGATTTGTTGCATGCTGCAAGAGGATCAAGGTGTCGATTGAAGGTTTCCTGACAGATTACCGCGCAAACGCTCGAGCGATCAAATGAAGACCCCTCTGTTTGCCCATTCATTCCCGAAGACGGATATCTTTCAGAAAGACACAAAAAGTGTTTCGAATTTTGCTTTGAGCAAAGTCAACGAGAAGACACGTCAAACATGTGATGATGCTGGCAAAGTTTAAGATCTCTTTATTTACCTTTGATCTGGTTGCAGCTGGATTACGCACGCAGACCGGTCCAATCTAATGAAAAGGCATGCTCCATGCGTTCAGGACAGTCTGGGGTATGCCATGCCATCACCGGCTCAAGAATTTGATCAGCAAGGATAAGCGATAAACTTGAACGACTTTCATCCCCGTTGGCACATTGTGGAACGTATTCCTCTTTGTCCTGATGCTTTCGAGAAACCGGAAGATCATTTGCCTGTTGTGATGGAACAATTAGCCAAAAATGTGGCTAAGTTACCGGATCACCAACAGATAGCAACTATTGAGAATCTCCACCATCTGTCCTAGCTGTTGCCCTGTCCGATTAAGGAACCAGAAGCTGTGAGGACAAAGGGCCGCCCAAGCACCTCGACAAAAAGAAATTTGTCTGGATTTGTTACGTGGAACAATCGCAGAAGCGGAGGAAAGCGGAGAGATGTAGCGCATGTGGTGGTGTCGGTCACCGCAAAAACTCGAAGAGCTGTACAAATTATATCTCGCCTTCCACGTTTGCATCCGCAATTCATCAAAATGCAGCGACGTCATCAGCGACGAAATTGCTTGAGCTATAAATCGATTCGGATTGATTATCAGGCTTTAGGTGGCTTCATTATCCGGCAATACAACCACGTCCGTGTGATCGATCAGAGAGTGCAGGTAACATTGACTTACAAGGCTCCACAACTTCCGACGAGACCAGAATCAAGGAGGAAAATAGTAAAAACCAATATACCTTTGCCACTGTAAATTAAGTGATAGCCGTTCAAGCTAGAGCACACCCAGTCATAATCATGTACCTCCACCCCAAGCATTGTTAGCCATATATCCTTTCTGTGCAACCCATGCAAGTTTTCGCACCCGGTATAGTACCTGGTCGTCATACCCTTTCAATCGCACAATGACCTTGTAAGTAACCGTACTTAGCATCTTCGTGCCCGAAATTATCTGCCCGGGGTGGGACGATCAACGGTATGGACTGGTACGTACCTCGTCACAGACTGCACGCGGTACGTGCTTGTTCGTGCCTTGAGGAAGCTAAGGAGAAGCTCACTCGAGCATAGGAGGAGAAAATACGCTGGGGTGGTCGTCTGCTAAGGAAGACCGAGGCAGCCATGGGCAGAGGTAATTCCAAGCAGCGTCCACTGCAGCTGAAAAAAACGTCCGAGTTCAGTCACGAGCTGTATATGGTCACTGTTGTGCTTATTGGCATCGCATTGGCTCTCAATCAAATTGTATTTGTGGAGTAGCGGAGGTGCTGTAGAGGCGCACCTGTCATTCGACGTCACTTAAAACGCTAACATTCATGTGAAACATGGTGTATTATTTGGCGTACCTTAAGAGATTAATTCGGCAGCCACATGCCAAGATTATGCCAGTTGATAACATCTTCATAACGACTCGTGACTGTGAGCACGAAGAAACTCGAATGTTGTTGCCACTGCCAATGGTTGAATCTTGGCATCGTACCTATGGATTGTATACCGTCTTCGAGACGGTAGAGACTTCAGCAGGCTTAGCCCATTCAAACACCGCCCTGGCCAAATTGGATTGATACGACCTCGCGCATGAGTGCAATCACTGTTTAAGATAGGGATATATCGAGCAGATTAAGTGACTACGTGTTTACTTATTCTGCACCATAAATTGTGAAGTCCTCTTCATCATCATTTTAGGCAGGCGGGTGTGCCCGTAGCAAAAATGGGGTGTGCCCCTAGTCGTGGCCTTTCAATTATGGCATTGTAATTTTCCACCAGGACCCGTCCGTGCAATTTTTGCTACAGTGGACGATCAGAGAACAGCGCGCAACTCATCTGCGCGTAAAATAACGTGGCAATAAACAAGTACCGCTGAGTGACATGCGCTACTTCATTCGTAGGCAGTTCATAAGTGCGGTCAGCAATTTGTACAACAACCGCATTGCCAGGCTCTGTTGGCTACGCCACTCGAGTCGGTCGCATGTGACCCCATGTGGCAATCGCAGCTTTGCGCCGAGTAGTAGTCGGCTGCACTTGGCGCGTCGCAAAGAGGTATCGACAGCCCGTCCAGTTCCGAAGCGAATCCGATGGCTAGGGAATGACCATCGATTTGACGCCGTAGCTGCTGTGGGACAGCGCACTTGCCAAACTGCGACTGCTGTAGGTGTGACGCAGGTAGTTCTGAAGCAGTCGCTGGTAGTATTCTTCGTCAAGTGGAGGTGATGACGACTCGTTGGCTTTCTTCACCAGAGTCGACTGACGCGGGAGCCAAAAGCTGCTCTGCGCTTGAACAGGTGTCGATTTTCGGCAGTCCAGAGGCACTTGGCCTCGGCGTACCGTTGCGAAAGCCGGTACTTGCTGGTGAAAGCTTTGGTTGTGCGTCAACAAGCTGTTCCCAGACGGGAAACGGCCGAGCTGCAACGACGTATAGTAGTTGGTCGAAGTCGATCCCAAATCGGCAGACGTAAACGAACGCAGCGAATTCTCTGCATTGGACGACGACATTCCAGAGATGGCGGATGCGGCGCTGCCACGGCGGACCTGGTAGTGCTCCAGCACTTCCAGCATCATACTTGCGGCATCGAGCGCGCCGCTTTTATCGCTCGGTGCCTCCTGACCTGCTGTTTCCAATGATTGCACGGAGGTCCGCTTCTTGGGCCGAGTATTGACACTCAACCGGTGTTGCTGGTGCTTCTCGGATTCGCGTGACGACAGTGCTGAGATGGAAGAAAGTTCTGCAGCTGATACTAGTCGCTCCGCGCGCTCCGGAAGCAGCCGCTGACTGGTACCGTTGACGTGGAATGGACGCGTCGGTGACCGAAGACGACGTTATCGTCGGGCGGATAAACGTCGGCGCGCGCTTCCGCTTTTTCGCCAACCGCTTGAGCAGGCGCGCGTTGATCGTAGCCACTGAGGGGATCACCTCGCACACGCAAGCAAGACAAAAGGTCTCTGTGCAGGGCCCGCCAGCAGCACTGATGCCCTCTGGGTGGTAGTGCGCACAGAAAATCGGCTTAATCACGCGACACGTACGACAGCAGGGCTTCCAGCACCCGCGGCAGTGGCGCGGGGCGTTCCAGAAGTACAGCGCTCGAGCGCACACTCCACAGCGCGGGCGGGCGCTGACCGCGTCACGCAATCGCTGCGTCTGACCCGCAAGGAGTACCGACAGGTTCTTGGCCTGGCCGCTTTGCACCGTATTGGCCATCGACGTAAGCCACTCTGCAATGCACTGGTCGCCCACAATGGGCGCCAAGCGGCCGCTAGAGTTGAACTGGCCGTGCGCGAACATCGCCACGCGGTCGTCCGCGAGGCGCTTGAACACGATCGCGAGCGAGACAAAGCCGCGCACGACGTCTTTGGACTTGTGACCGGGCTTCGGACCCGCGCGGCCACTGCGCGTTGGAGCAGGCGGCCACGTCGCGTCGGTCGGGTGCGTCTGTGCGTCGGCGTCATCGCTCGCGAGCGGCTCAATCGAGTGCAGCACCAAGTAGCCCATGTCGTCGCCCACGTCGTCGGTCACGACGTCCATCTTCTTGAAGCAGACAAAGTCGCGCGGACGACAGAGGCCGAGCCCCGGGAGCTTCTGCGCCAGCCACACAATGCCTGCGAACTGGAACGGGCGCGTCTCGGAGCTGCGCTTGTCCACGTGGAGCACGCGCGCGTCGAGCGACCGCGGGCTCAGCAGCCGCTCCAGCACCCGTGCGGTGCGCGTCGAGTCGGCGTACAGTCCGTTCATGACGTCGTGCAGCGAGCCGTGGACCGTTCCGCGCGCCTGCACCGTCGCCAAGCGACTACGGGTCGCGCGCTGCCGGTACACCTGAATGTCACTGCGCTCGCGCAGGAGTTTCCACTGCCGCGCGCTGTGGGCGGGCAGCCACAACCCGTCACGACGTGGCGCGGCGCCCAAAGGGGTGCGCCGTGCGCGGCGGTCGCGCTCCTGACCCTCGCGCAAGAGCCGCAGCGTCGTCTCGAGGCGGACGGCGCACTCGCGATGGTACCGGCGCAGGCGCGCGCTGCTGACGTCGGTGGCGAGTGTGGGCGTAGCGAGGGCGTCGTCCATGTCCATCGTGATGGCCGACACGAGGCCGTGACTGGTGGCGAGCCGGTCGACAGCGTCCGCCATCGCAACAGACAGACACACACACACGCACACGCACTCACACGTCGGGGGGTAAAGAGGCCCTCTGTATGGCAAATGCCGTTGTGAGAGAGCGAGAGAGGAGCAGGCGGTGGTCAGGCAGGCGGACCGACCGACCGACCGACCGACTGACTGACTGACTGACCGCGTGAGCGACCGACAGACGGGCGAGCAGACACGGACAGCCGGGCGGCGCGTCTCGTTTGACTTGCATTGAGTATAGAGTGCCGAGCTGAACGCCGCGTGAGGCCGTGCAGAGGCTATCGCGCGCGTATCTTGTGCTCGGGTCGTCTCTCGCTCTCTCTCTCTCTCACTCTCTCTCTTTCTCGTTGATCTTCTTGTGCCGCGGCCGATACGATCGATACGAGTTTACGTGGCGAAACGCAGTCGCGACGATTTCGTGTGTGATCGATCGATCAATCGATCGTCTTGGAAACGAGTCCGATCTGTAATCGGTCTCGCATATGGCCCCTCCTCCCCCCACAGACTCAAGGGACGCCGTGATAACGGACTCGCACATCCCCCGTGGCCGCTAAGCGGTAGTGATACTACTTGTTGCATAACGCAACGTGGTGGTTGATGGAGTTTATCGGTATCATCCCTCTGTTCCACGCTAGACGCCGTCCCACGTCAATAGCTCGATCAAGTCTGAGTGGGAGAGCAGCGTCTCGTGCCCATCGTCCATGACAGGATTGCATGATCCTTCCTCGCGGGAAGAGACACACGTCTGGTCCAGCTGCCTGCGATACGCGCTCGCCTGGAACATCAACGCGCGCGGTCCACGGTCGACCCTCAATCGACTCCGACGGCATCTACCGCTCTCTCTCTCTCTCAGCCAAAGGTGCCGACACGCCTTGAGGCTGTTTACCTCCACACTACAAAGACGTTACCAACGTTGCGAGAACGCTGCCAGCCGTTGTTCCGTGGTCCGCTCGTGGCCAACCAGAGCGAAGCGCTGTCAAGCTGTCCTGCCACGGCGTCGACAAGCGGAGCACGTTGACGTTGCACTAGCTGCAAGTCGCTCCCACGCGGCTCTTCTGCGGCCGTCTTGTCATCGCGAGCTGTCTGCTGCCAGCGCAAGTGAGCGAAGCGCTTCCAGTTGCACGTCATCCGTTGCATGAGAACGCCCCAGAAAAGTGGCAGTTTTCTGCGTCGGCTCGTGGCTCGCGTTGGAAGGAGGTACACCTGTGGCGGCCACACGCTTTCTCGCCCCATCGCCTCTGCGAATCGCAAGTAGCCTTCGCCCAGTAGACCACACACTCAGAGCGTAACTGCCTGTGAAGCGGTGTGTTCTGCCGGCCGAAGGCTACGGTCGAACAGTGCTACGCGGACAGTTACGCTCTGCGTGCGTGAGCTGACTCGCCTGCTCTAGACATCGGCCGTAGCGCCGAAGGCAAATGCGTCGGACCGAGTCGGCGGCCGTAGCCAAGTGGTTGTTGAGTCTGTTCGACACAAGCGGACGTTGCGTTACGCTGCTCAACCCCCGCGACTTGGGCTGCTCCGTCCCATCGAGCGACACGACGGTCCTGGAAACGCCACATACACAGCATGAGAGTTTATGGACTTTGGATACGAGACAGACAGCCCACACATTGTATGGATGGAGTACACGGTACTGTTTGCTGACTCGCAGCGGAAGGCCGTAGTGCGATTTCCCGTCGAGACTAAAAACAACGACTAGCGACTCGTCACCGACGTTTCGACGCTTCGACGCTTCTCGATCCACTGCAGGCACTGACATACACTGTGCTCCTTCACTGCGCGTGTGCGTCCTCGAGCGCACCTTTTCGTCCACTGCGCACACGTCGCAAACGTCCTGTGCACTTGAGCTCTGCAGCGTCGCCTGCGGGGCCCACCCCCACCTTCCTCGATCGCCTGCCCAGGTTCTCTACCGAGTCCGAGTCCATCATCATCACCATCGTCATCACCATCTTCTTCTTCTTCGCCTCCTTTGACTTGGACTATTGCTGCGCTGTTCCACGTCGCGCGAGGCGCTGGCAGATCCGCCTCCAGCGTCATGAGCGCCAACTGTTTGCTGCTACTGCCTTTGCCGCCGCTCTTTTCTCCGCATCGTCTCTCTCCTCGGCGCAAGTGGCAGCAACCACACAGTCGGACTCCACATGCTTCGGCTGTAAGCATTCGCACTTCCGTTGTCACTTGATCAGCTGAGTCGACGACTGCAGCTGCACCGCATCGTCAGACCCAACTACAGCTGCGCCACTGCGACTGCGACTGCTGCTACAGAAGCAGTTGAGGCGATGGTACCTGCACACTTCTCACACTATGTGTACACTGGAGGAACACCACCTGAGTTCATATGGCCCACGTCCGCTCGTGTGCAGGTCTTCCGTCGAGCAGACCGATCCAATGTCCTCTCGAATCGCTCGTGTCAGTAGCGCCCCATTCAGCTGCACAGCGTCTGCAATGGCCTCCAGCGATACGAATGACCGGCAGTGGCGCTCGACGTCGTCACTGTAAAACGTGTCGCCCATCTGCAGCTCTGATACAGTCCCATCGCCACACTGAGCTCGGGGGGTGTCCAGCTGATACCTGTCGCGAACCAGAAATACTGAGCGAAAAACGAGAGTCCTTCTGCCATTCAGCACTGGCGTTCGACACTGTCGCAGTTGCAGAGACAAAGCGACAAGAAGGAAAAGTGGGGCGTTCTGTTTCGCACGTGTTTGGTGGGAGCGCTACAGACGCCACAGATAGAGAGAGCGGCGTACGACTGACTGCCAGTTGGAGTGCCACACCGCGTCGACCTGTCGACCTGTCACACAACGAACGGAGTGGCGTCAAACCCGACGCTAAAGCGCTGAGGCGGCCGCACTTTGTGCCACTCAGTGTCGCTACTCTCCACCCCAAATGAACGGCATCGAAGCGACAGTGTCGTACGGCTCCAGCGCGTACGTCGCTGGCTTTGTGGTGCTGCTGGTGGGTGTGCTGCTGCCGATGGTGTACATGGCGCTGCAGAACAAGAAGGCGTTCAAGGCCGTGCGACGGGACTAGCGGGGCGGACTCGATGCGTGGGGGGGAGAGAGCCACTCGACCAGGTCGGACATGTGCATGTGGCGGACATGTGGACGGAAGCCCCACATCGAACTGCACGACGGCGAGCAAAAGTGACAAGAGAGTTTGGAGAAGAGGTGGAGCTTTTAGCGCAGAGGGATTCGAAGCAGTCGCGGCGGTACAGAGGGCGCGATAGTTACAGCAGCTGTGGGGTGGATGGCGCTGGAACTGGTGCCGCAGCGTTTGAGCTGTGGATCGAAGAGAAGAGCGTTCAGAGCTGGAGGGTCGAGTCGACGAGTGCATTGTGTTTGATCGCACACAATGGAGCGCTGTTTTACGACGTTCGATGTCGCGGTTGCTTACGTTGAGTTGGTGCTACTGCCACTGCTGCTACTGCCACTGCCACTGCTGCTACTGCGTCTCCTATTTCGAATGAGTCGTGTCCAGCGCAGTGACTGGCGCGTCCCTTGGTATCGAAGGGGTCGACTCGGCGCCACGTTTGATACGTCGTGGGGTTTCGAGCCGAGCGGCCCACATCCGTATCAACACTGTGTTGTTATAAGACGGAGAATGGTTGGCAGGCGACGAAACATCCGTCGGATCGATCCTTCGTTCACGCTGTGCATTGTCTCCACTCTTTCCATGTTGGTCCGCTCACAGAGGTCTGTCTGGCTGGCCACCATGAACCCAGACGTACGGTCGAGACCACCTTGAAGCAGTAAGGGTCATCGAGACGACCGACTTGAGAGCAACTGCATCCCATGATCATAGTCGTGGAGGTTCTCATGCAGTCGTTGCTTGCGTCATGTACAAGAATGGTGCAACTTCGTGCACGCGCAACAAATAATGACAGGAACGTTCACAGCACGCACCTTACCTTCACATTGGAAGACGGCGTATTGCAATAAGCAGCAGCACCCCAAGGTCTCCATCATGCTTTGCTCAGACAGTCGGTATGGAATGCGCTGTCTCCAATCGACACGCACGAAACTTTGCCCCACGCAGTAGTGCAGCCGGCAGATCTCGAGCCCCTCGCTCTACAGACATGCGCCTACATCTATCCTGACACGGGCGCTATCGTGTCGGGACTGCGGTCTCTGTCACACATAAAGTGATGCTGCAGTCGCTGTAGCTGTGTAGAATCGCTTCACGACCCACGGCTGCTATACGCCGTAGATAGCGTACGACGAGCGGAGGAGTGGCATGTCCACATCGACTTTTCATGCAGCGCACTAGTAACAAGTGGCAAAATGGACACGCACAGCGGCATTGTGAACGTCAGCGTCGCTGCTGTGGGTCATAAAGCATACAGAATCGCACGTAGCCGGAAGTCAGAGCTCGTGCGATCGTGTAGACGCAACGAGCAGTCTGCTGTCTTCCAGTCTCCTTTGCCCGGCGCGAACAAGTCAAAGAGGAAACGACTCGGCATAGTGTAACAACGTCGGAGCAGTAGGAAAGAGATTGAGCAGTCCCATGGTGTGATGGATGGTGGCGGATCGGATCGACGACCCATTTCTCACTTGGTGTGCACCATGAGAGTTGCTGACACACGCACGTACCTTGCAACGTGATTGCACAAGCTCCAGGATGCGAGCACCAGTATTCTGTGTAAGTGCATTGAGACCGACTGTGATACGAATGTAGCCTCGTTCAGTAGCAGGACACGTGTGCTACATGTTCGATCAAGTCAAAAAGCTGAACTGGCCATTGAACCAATGTATGCCTTGCAATGCTGCACTGATCGCAAATCGCGTTCCAGCGCAACACTAGCGAGAAAGCGACGATGAACAACCCGAAACGAGCAGCCCGAAACGAGCAACCCGGGACAAGCAGCTTCTCACATACACGGATCTACGCGAGTATGAGCGATACCATTCAAGTAGCAGTCGAGTTCGATCGAATGTGGAACCATCCGCCTC